GGAATAGTGGGTAATGTCTATTCTCATACCTGCAGGTATTTGATTTATATGGAGTTGGCTTGCGTCAGGCTTTCCAGACACCCAATCTTGTGAAGGAGTTAAATATGAAGGTGCCTATTCTTCAGGCTTCAGCAGCGTTTTTGGCATGCTTGACAACATTTGTTTAACATCATTAAGTCGTGTGGTGTACACATTTCAGGTTGGTAAGTTGTCTACGGGTGATTCTCTAGATATGGCACCTGCTGATGAATCATCCATCATTAAGAATGGGGCGTCCCTTAAAGACATGGAGGTAACTAATGCAGCTATATAAATGTATATTTAGGCCAACGATTATGGATTTAGGAATGATTGGTAGCATTGGAAGGGTTAAGGTTGGCATATTGAGTTTGTTTGCAGGGAGCTGCCATTGCTTATGTTGCAGATCTTATGAAAGTGCCTGCAATTTTTCTAAAAGCCGTGACTGATATAGTGGATGGTGATAAACCGACGTCTGAAGAGTATTTGGAAAATTTAACTGCAGTAACTGCTGCACTTGCTGAAGCAGCCACTCGAGTTGTTGATTACATCAATGGCAAGTTTCTCTCTCAACTTTGATTCTGCAGATGCTCACTTAATTTGCTGTCTCCAGCATACAGATTCACGTACACCCGCGTGTACGGAGAGCGCCATACATCCGAATATAAATGATTTTTTGAAAATTTTCATTTTTACATGCTCATTTCACAATTAATGTATTGTCATTTGATACTTGTGTTTATTTTAAAATTTCATATAATCATATCGATGCACATTCCTTGTAACATTATACTCATTTGGCGTAACATAAAACTTATTTCAATAAATCATACACGTAATATATATGCCTTACAGACCAACCAAATATAATTAGGTTTATTTACTTAAGTTTAAGTTTTTGTAATGAGAGAGCTTAATAAGAAAAATATTTCATAATTATATCAACTTTATTGTGTTTTTTTATAATGTTACAGCAATGTACATTTCTTTTTAAGTTATATATTCACAATGTAGACTCATTTGAAATCATTGTTTTGCTCATTTATTATATGAAAATTTACATGAATAATTTAACTTTCTCAGTTCTTCCATTGTTAATCCAAATAAGACTATTATTAATCCCATATATGACCGAGTATCTCTAAAATAATGTAGAGTCAAATAATAGGCCTGGGACTGGTTCGGTTCCTAGGCAAAATATGTGGAACCGTTTGAAAATATGAAATTTTACTAACGGTTCGGTTCTTGTCATTTAACGGTTCCTAGTCTTTGAAAAAATTCTTACAAATCACGACTAAATTTTTGCCAAAAAGACATTCAACGTTGGAAATCTCAATACATATATGTTGAAGCAGTTAAAGAAAATAATAATTTTAAATACTCTGGACCTTCCGAGTTCCGACCAGCTGGAGTTTGGACCTAATGAGAGGCCTAAGAAGCCTAAGAGAACCGGTTGAAATAAATAATAGTTTTAAATAGTTAAATAACTAAACTAAAATAATGAATATAATATAAAAATAAATAAGTAAATATACATTACAATATATATATTCATAAAAAATATATTTAATTTTAATTATTATATATAACGGTTCCTTAACGGTTCCTGGTACATATTTTTTTCAGGAACCGAGAACCGAACCGTTAATAAAAATTAGGAACCGAACCGTTAACAAATAACTAATAAATGTTGGAACCGAACCGAACCGAACCGGGTCATAACGGTTCGGTTCTCCGGTTCTTGGTTCCAAAGTCCCAGCCCTAGAGTCAATTTCTTAAATAGGACTAAAAAGTGGCAAAATTGCACAAATAGGATTACATTTTTTAAATTTCCTTAATGGGACTATTTATGCGTGTTTGGACAAATATACCCTTGTAACTTTTGAAATGTTTTAATTAATAATAAAATCATAAAAATACTAAAAATCGAAAAAATACTAAAAATAGTAATAAAAAAAATAGAAAATTAATAAAAATATTTTTTAAAAAAAATCAAAAAATATTTTTTAAAAAAATTAAAAAAATTAAAAAATCGTAAAATTAAAAAAAACATTACCACCCTTGCCACCCCTAGCACCACCAGTTCCCATCACCGGAGAAAAATATGCCAACATTTTAAATAATGCCATAATAATGGCTTATTCAATGAAAATGTTGGCATATTGAAGAGTAATTATGTCAACTTTTTGGCATTTTCAGAAAAAGACAGCATTAATTTACCAAAAGTGGAAGAAATTTCACCAATCGGAGGTGGTGGTGCTGGGAGGCGGCGGGAGGCGATGGGAAAGGTATCCATAATTTTTTACATTTTTATGAGTTTTTACTATTTTATTATTTTTTTAAAGAATTAAAAAAAATAAAAAATTAAATTTTTTATTTTATAAATGTTTTATAATTTTTTCTATTTTTTTGCGTTTTTTAAATATTTTTTATGTTTTTTATGATTTTATTATGAATTAAAGCATTTCATTATGAATTACTCCGTAATACTCTTAGGGGTATTTAGGGTATAAAATCAATGTTTAGTCCTATTTAGGGAATTTAAAAAATAGTAATTTTATTTGTGCTTTTCAGGAACTCATTGGTCCTATTTAGGACAATTTCCGAATAATGTGTAACCCCACCCATGTTTTAATTTGATTGGACTTCACAAATTTTATACTTTTCCATTTTCCTTTCCTTTGTTTATATCTATTTCTCTTCTCTTCTGCGCATACTATTTCTTCTTCCTTTCTTCTTCTTCTCTTCAACCGGATCTCCTCTTCTGTCCATTCTTCTTAATTTGTTTTACAACTACAGTCATAACAACTAAAAGGATAGACTGAAGAAGAAACTGGGAGCAGTTGTAAGATAACTCAATCGGAGCCCGGAGGAATATTATTCCAATGTGGACCTCCACTAGACCGTTACATTAGAAGCAGAAGTAGAGGACCTCCTTCGTCATCATATTCGTTGACACCAAAAGCAGGATGTTCCTCCATTCTATCTTTCCGTGAGAGAGATGATTTGAATCAACGAAGGTGCACACTGCCCACCATATTTTTCGCCGCCGCCTTCCTTTTAGCCAATGACGGGAATTGATTCAAGAGGGAGATGAAAGTGCGAGCAACACCTTCCTTTCCGTGTGGATTCAACTACTATTGCGGTTAAAGATGAAATGTGAAGAGGAAGATGAACAATTCTTCCCTGTCTTTCCATAGATGAAGAGTAAAGATGATGATGAGAATGAAAGGAGTCGATTCAGATTCGTTTTTTTTACCAATTTAGAACATTTTAGGTAATCTGGATGAATGACGGAAGACCACATATGAATTTTGGGACTGTTAGAATTAATATGTATTTCAGATTAATATTAGAAGAACGTAAATAGATGGTATTATTCATGTGAACCTTTTCATTTATAATATCATATCATACACATTTATTTTAAATGGTATATTCATATAAGTATAATTTAAACTCATTTCTAAAATTACACACACACACATATTACTCCAGGGGCGGCCTGGGGGAGGGGGGCTAGGGGGCCTGGAGTAATCAAGGCTGAAACTCACTCCATTGAGTTTCGAACCCTTTATGTGCCTAGCGAGTTTCGAACTCGAGACCTCTCACTAGGCATGGTAACCTCACAACCAGCTAGGCTGGAATGCTTGGTTTATATTAAGGTAGGCCTAAAATTTAAAATTTTAGGCCTCTTTTAGTTGAGGGGGGCTTTCAGGATGAATTTTTTGATGAAATTTTGTGAGAATGCTCTCCATGAAGTGTATATTATGTCTACCAAATTTCAAATTAAAATTTAATCGGGAAGTCAATTAAATAATTTTTCTAAAATTGGGCAGTTTTTTATACACATAACATGCAATTGGTTTCAATAATTTATTTAACCGACTTCCCGATTGAATTTTAAGTTGAAATTTGGTGGACATAACCTACATTTCATGGAGAATATGTTCACAAAGTTTCATAAAAAAAATTCGACCCGGAAGCACTTCAAATGAAAGAGGCCTAAAATTTGTAAGATCAGACCAGACTTGACTTCCGTAATTATAAAAACACAGAGACCAAACGTTTACCAGATCAGCCCAGATTGAGATAGATCAGACCAGCAAATTACAGTCCACGTAAAAAAATCCGAACTGGTTTTGATCTAAAACCAGCCAAACAGGCGGGTGGTTTACCTGCCGATCCAGATCCCGATAAGTTCCAGATGTAGATCTGGGCTGACCCAAAATGGAACTCTGCTAGCACATATTGAGATCCTTTGACGTGCAACATAAGTATGCTGCAACTAACGAACAGATGAGAAAAGAAGGCACCTCGAGATGCGGTCCTCCAAGATCTATTATCGTTGGTTTGTTGATGGACGACCTAACGCCCGACACCCTGCCGACGAGGCGTCAAAGCAAGGCCGAGATTCCGGATCCTTGTACTAGGGATGACGCCACTAATGCATGCACTAAGTCTAAACTAAAGAAATATTTAGTTATTATATTATTACATCACACTTTCTCGCACTTTCGCAAATCTACCGAAACGTCCGAAAGGTGTCTTGTTACCCCACGACATCAAATTGGTCGGATTTTTAGCGGTGGAATGTTGCAGCTCTTTTCGGCAGTACACACTTGGTTTTGTGCCGTTCGTAGGTACAAGTTGATTTTTTGAGAATACATATATAATATTCCATAGAAACACCCTTTTGGTAAATGCCCTGATCACAGCATCAGCACAATGCTGTATACTCGGTATTACTGTATATGCATTAATTAAAGCTTTGACACTAGTGGATAGTAATACTTTAAATGTTTGCTAAACTTTCTTTTTGATACACTTCGGTAAGTTTACCTTTTATAAAATATTCAACTACCTTTACTTTTTCTACTTTTTATCTTCTCTTTCACACTTTTACACTCTCTTCTACTTTTTCTACATTATTCACTGCCCCTACCACTTTACTTCTTAAATAATGTGCCAAACCAAATGCAGTGAACATTAAAATATGGAGGGAGTAATAATAATAGTAGTAGTAGTAATAATAATAATAATAATAATAATAATAATAATAATATGCAATAAGTGAAATTCATTTTGAGGCCAAAAGTTAGGAATTCCTCCAATTAAACTAATATAGGACCATCAAGTTCTTGGTGGAACTGTAAACTACACTGATCGTCCCACTTCTACCATTTAGACTTTAGAGTGCAAAGAATACAAAGGGACACACAACAGAACCAGCAACACTCACACCACCCCAGAAGGAAGGCGCAACACAAGTTGTCCACCGAAAACACTGCAAAAAACAAAATATAATAAATAAATTCCAGAGGAAAAAAGATGTAATATGAGGAAATAAAGCTGGATGAAGGTGTTTATAAAACCTTTTGACATAGTAGTAACAGAAGTCCGCTAAGATGAAGGTTTGCACAATTTCAGATATTAACACCATAGAAGGCCATAGACCATAGCCCAGTGCCACTAGGAGATGGCCACGGGTATCTAAAACCTGTCAAATGCAAGGTGCCGGGGTTACAGAGTTTGGTACATAATTTTACATTACTGTATAATAGCACTCATCCAGTCCCAAAATATAAGGTTACTTCTTTTAGCACGACTGTAATATAAGAAGGAAAAGGTAATTTGCTTTATCAAACTAAGCCTCAAGGGGGACTAATTGTGTCATATCATTTCAATGAAGTGAAAGAGAGGAAGAATTCAGAAAAGTAAAAGGTTAGAAGTGTTCAATTTACTAAAATGGACCTTTTTACATATGAACTGGGTGTATTAGGAAAAATAAAAGGTTAGAGGTGTTCGCACTAGGAAATTGGACTTTTTGACATATACAGTGAGACATGAGAGTTAGAAATCTGATTTGTTTGGGATTGTCGAAGAGTTTACTTAGACACCATTAAGAAATAAAATGATATTCAATCCTTTTTTAACCACGCTCTTGAGCTAGTATAATGCTAATGCTCATAAAAATTCAAACTAGATACTTTGTTTCCCAATATAAGCAGTAGAAATTCAAGGTTTGCTGTCAAACCTGTAGAACCCAGTGAGCACAGCTTAAGAACCGCGCAACACCCAGTGCGAATACATAATGAGCTGTAAATGGTTCAACAATCTGAGGGGAAAAAATATGCAAATTAACACTTCATGCTCAAGCTAGAACAATTAACATTTTTCCCGTCCAACAAAAAAGGCAAAGGGTGATGTGGGATAAAAATAAATAATTAAATATAATACCTTAGTATTTTGCATGACACGGAGCTGGGGTAGCACGGAAACTGCCTCCAAGTACACACAGAAAGCCCAAAAGATCTTGTTCACAAAGTGATGTGATGTACCTGGGTGAATTAGAAAAGCTAAAACAGCACAAGGGACAACCTGCAGTGAAGCAAAGTTCGTGAAGACATGGGCCTATGGCACATTGGCAATGATATCATACTCCATCAAGTATACCCCTCCCACGATCAAGTTTCAGGTTTGATCTATACATGGACTAATTGTATATATGCAACGCATATTTGGGTTTTCAAATATACCCTTACTTTACGTAAAAGATAGCAAATCGTAGTAATGACATTTTCCTATTTAAAATTTTCCTTTCATGGAAACGGGAATTCATTTTGGGATATCCATATAAGGAAAGTATGAACATAATTGTGAGACGGAGGAAGTCTACTGAGACACTTACCACATAATATATTGCAAAATTGTCTTTTTCCTCCATGTAACTTGATCTTAGTTTAAAACGAATCATATAAATAACCCACAGAGTTGTTGCCAGTGTAGCCATGTCAAGCAAAGTGTGAATATCATACTCCATGACAAAGCTGCAATATAGTCTAACAGCTAAAAACATAGCTGTAAGCTCCTGGGATTTGAGAGAAAGCCCTACAAAGATTTCAGCTTCCCAATTAGCAGCATGTTGGACCACCACTGGAAAGGATAGTATCATACACAGAAAAATCCACACTCAACTATTCCATACAAGTTAAACTCATAAACTGGATTTGTTTACAATCTCTCAAAGCTTTGCTCCATCATCAAATTAACACCTCTTCCTTTTCCTCCTTAAAAAGGGAATGATGACAGTATGACACTTAAAAGGGCGTGGTATTTTTATGTCTAGTAATTTCTTCCTTGATCCTTAAGGTTCATTATGTGCCAAGGATGTTTTTATTTGGACGTTTTCAGTCCCATACCAAATCAAAACAGACCAGACCAGTTTAGACTAGAATGAGATCAGAATATTTCAGTCCAATTATAAACATCCTAAAAAGGAGAATTCTACAAATGCCTTAAGCTTGTTCAGTAGCTAAGTTGAAAGGCTCTGAAACAAAATGCAACTGGAATTCTTAAAAATAAGAATTCCTTAAAATTGTTCCCATATACGAATTCTAGAATCTGGAATTGAAGATTCTGTAAAGTCAACGAACCCTAGGTTAAATAAGACTTCACAACTGATCCATAGCAATCCGCTAGCTCCCAAGTGCATATTGGTAAACAAAACTAAGGCTTCATCAAAAGTTAAAACTACGGTGCTCAAAATCTAACCACCACAAACAAATAATTAACGGTCACGAGAAGGATAACAAAAACGAAGTCTTTACAGGTAAACCCCTAAATTCATCCATCCAATGCAGAAAGAGTCAATCCGTTGATTCCCCCGTCAAATTGAAACAAGTTGGACCAACGAACTATACCGCAGGACTAATTTCAGAGGCTGGCTAGTTAACAATCCAAAACAACAAAACAATTACCAGTGCAAGTCTTTTCCTTCATGAGCTTGTAGATGAGGACGCAGATTCCGATGGAGTGAACAGCCTCTGCGGCAACGAAGAGGTTGTCGTGATCGTGGACAATGGCTCGGAGCATGACGAGCGCCGCCATGCCGGTGATGACGGCGAGGAAAGCCTTCACCTTGGGCGGTTGCCGCTTCACCCACGTCGTGACGGCTTGGATCGGTCTCCGGGGAACCTTCATACTGCTCTACTCTACCTCTTCTTCTCAACGATTTTTGAGCGCTTATTTATTACCTGAACAATAAAGAGGATGAAGATGATGAAGAAGAAAACAGATACAGTTGTTTAAGCACTTGTATTGTTGAAATTTGCTAAGCTAATTTCTAGCTAAAATAGTCAATCAGTCATTGAATGGGGGTAAAATGCTCCATGCGGGTCCGGGTCCAGTGCTGCTCAACCCTGCAAAACCCCAGCGGGTCGTTGAAGCACGGCCGTTGATTTGTGGGTCGAGATCCCAGCCGTCCACGGCGGAACTCGTATATTTCGTGACATTAGTGTATGTGTCGGCTTAATTTTGTACGTAGTATTTTTTTGTCAATCTTATTTTGCTCCTCAAATTATTCAAACGATTTTCCCCATCAAATATAAATAATACGAAGTAAAAAAACACGACGTGCTTACTTGATCCCACCACTCACATTGTGCCATGTCTAACTTTTCATTGTACAAAATACACAATGCGAATAAATTCTCATATTATAGTGTAAATAATATTTAAATTTGAAATTGTTTTTTTTTATTGACTATATGTCATGATTGTATGTAAAGTTTAGAAAATCAATCATTTGCATGTAAAATAAATTTCATTATTTAGCTAGATGCGGAATTTATTTTTAAATTGCACGTAAAGACATTGCGGTGCTGCATAAAAAGTATGCAAAATGTTTTATAATAGTAAAATATTGTATGTAGTAAAGTGTGAAATGTTTTAAAAAAGTATTCTACAGATTACATAAAATAAACAAATCAAACAGTATAAATCTTTTGAATCTTTACACTTCAAAATCTCGAAATTGTAAACGAATCAAATTGTTGCTGTTGGAAAAATGGTTTTACAAATTAATATTATGGTCATTAATATTATTTGTAAAAATCATTTTGAAATGAATGAGAAATTATTCCCCGAAAGATAAGCGTGAAATTATACTTAACACGCATACACTGCCGCCGTCAGTCGGTCGGGTTCGGGTCTTTGACGAGTCAACAATCGGGCTTAAGATAGGAAGATTTAATTTTGCTACGTTTTCGGATAAAACCAAATTAAAGACACAACCATTCATTTTAAAAGAAAGGTCATGAACTTTCTTTTAAAAGGTGTCTTTTGGGTTAAGAGGCTCCTGGCCAGAGCTCTATAAATACCCGCCTTGTCTTCACTTTTGTAAAATCCGAATATTCACTAATAATTCCTAAAAATTCTCTCTTCCTTCGTTGCATCTTTGAGTTCGCCGGAATCCCGTTGGGAGCGAAGAACCGTTCTATCCTGGGAGACGCTTGCTACGTGTGTCGGGCAAAAACGTCTTAAGGAGACAACGCTTTTGTTGGGCTCGGTTGATACAAGTATTTTTCTTTTACTTCTATTTATCTAATTAATGCATGCAGATTTACATGAATTTTGAATAACAGTTGCATCATGCCACATCACCATTCTATCAAATTAGTACTTGTTATTACGTTTTTTGCATTAGAATGCAAAAAAATAATACTACGTAAGATAATTCGTATTATATTTTTTAATAAAAATAATGTGTAGGGAGAAAGACATAATAAAAGAAATATTACGCATTCGTTTTCAAAAAGTTTGTTGAACCTCGTGGAAAAAATCAGAAAATTGAGATGATAGGGAAAGCATTTCAAAACAGGTGCATTTTTTCTTTTTTAAGAAAACAGATGCAAATTAAAGAAACGAAAGTAATACTCCTTTCATAGTCATACATAGTAAACTTAATTTCAATTGAATCAACTTTTCTTGTTTATTTTGATATGTTTAGGTTAGTCTTGTAAAATCTAATATTATACAGAGTAAGTACATTATTATTATTATTATTGTCCAAGTCTAATCTATTTGATCTCTTTAAGATTGTGAGTTTGTTTGTTTTTCAGCGGATCGGTACAAAAACGCTGCAAAATGTAGCGTTTACCCTATGAAAAAATCGGCGGTTTAGCCTCACACGATATAAACCAAACATCCCCTATGTCTAGTAAATGGGGTGATTCATTCTATGGCTAAAAACGAATTCTAGAAAAAGATATACAACTAATACAAGAATCTTTATATGGTAAGAATTAAGAATATGTATGATAGCATGTTCAAGTAGTTGACTCATAAGAATTTTTAACGTTATTTTAACATCATTCAATTCTCCTCAAGGTGGTCTCATCTTTGCAGCCTTTCATTACTGGCCAGTTTGAAACCACAAGTCCAAAACCATTCTCTACACAATTTCATATAAAAACAGCCAACAAAATAAAAGGTTATCAAATTACAAAAGTGATGCCAAAACCATCGAACAAGTTCATCCAAATTAGACTACTCAAGAAGTTGAAAGAAGAAAAAACTGATTCTAGACAAGCTGATAGACTAGCAGAGTCAGAAAAGACGTGGAAAGGGAAGTGAGGAGGAATTTGCAGTGTATACTTTAAACAACAAAAGACATGGTTTACCAATATGATATGATAGTATGTTACCCTTTATTCATAACTTCTGGCTAAGGGAAAAGCCTGGAAAACGGCTGATCCTCTCACTTTTCATTCAACCCTTCCTGCACTTATCCCTCTTTATATATGTGTATGTTAAGTGGCAAAGCTATGCATGAAATCAGGTAGGTGATGTATCAAAATGAGGCAGATCTCTTCAAAACCGGTTTCATCTGCTTGTCTTCTTCAATGGCGATCATCCCGATATGGGAAGGGTCTTCAAGCATCATCTTTGAGACCAAGTAGCCAGCTATAGACCATGTTTGGTATTTACGCGCCTGTTTCCCCATGAACCTGCCAAGCTTTCCATCATAATATTCAGGCCATGCATCTTTGGACAACCTGGTTTCAATTAGTTCAATGGCACGTCTTGCGATCTGTGGACGCCCAGTCTTGATACATGCAGCTGTGAGTAGCCATAACAGCACTGCAGCGATAAAACTAAACACATTTAGCAGCTAGAAATAAAACGAGAGAATCATTTCTAATCCCAGGACTATTATGCACTCTCATTTTCTATCCATAACTTTCATCCATTCTACTTTCGGTGCACAATTAAGATTTCTTGTCACTTTTGATCATTCCCAGTAACTTATCGGGTGAAAATAAAATGGAGATTATGAAGAAATTCACAGGATACATGGTCAGTAGGACAATAATTGTCAAAAGATCTATTGCTGAGCACTAAAAACTGATAAAATGAAATTTGGGAACGCAAGTAAGAATGACTTAATAGTTCTCTGAGACTAAAATATGAATATGCTCAAATAGAAATTGTCAGTTTACTATTACACTAACTAGAAGGTACTATTTGTTAATATATGCCATGCTGATTAAACATAAAGATACAAACTTGCATATAGTAAGACTTTGAGCATTTCTCCTATCATATTGAACTTTTAAGGTGTAAGCTAAAGTCTTAATGTGCGAGTTCGTATTTTTATATGATTAATAATAAAAGATGAATGTGTGTGTGGTAGATACTTGGCCATGACCCGCCATTGTGGTAGCTCCATCTAGTGTTTTTAGGATCACACCCCGTGATGATGCGCCACTCATGCCCCTCCAGAGCAGGGTAGCAAACCTTGAGAGGCATTTCTCCCACGAGTTCTTGCCAACGTGACTCAATAAGGTCCATCACTTTAGCTGACTGTTCTGGAGTTGCTAGAGATGAGAGAATGGCAATGCAGTTCCCCAAACAAAACCAACGGAAGTCCATTCTTGAAGGTCCAACGTTCCCAATAAAGTATCCACCATTAATTGGCATGAAATCAAATATCCATTCCGGAAGTGAATCTGGCATGATGTTAAATTTGTTCACTGCAGTGTGAGAGTATTCCTCGGTTTTATATCGGTATATATCGTTGAGTTGCTTCAGGTCAAGCCAGAAGTAACTCCTCATATGATAGCTCAAAGCATGCAACCGCTTGACTATTCTCTCCACAAAGGCTTTTCCCTCAGCATCTTGCTTCAGTAAAAGCAATGCACATCTCAAAGCCATGAAGAAGAGCGCCTGGATTTCAATGGGGTACCCATAGACACCCTAAATGATGGAGAATCATGTTTTTAAAGTCTGATTTCAGAATCCTCAATTTAATAATCAAATGTCATTAGCGAATGCGAGAATTAGATTTTTCTAAACATTTTCTCATTTAAATTTGAGTCTGCGCGCTATTTTAGAATTAAGTGGCATTTGCATTCAAAAGTCAAAATATTTACTACCTCTCTTTCAAAGAGTTTGTCACAAGTATTAACGACAAGTAGAACTATATTCTATATGTTTTATATTGAATTTATGAAATTAAGGATGGTCGTGAGCCACAAGATATGAGTCATATGACTATATTTAGTATGATACAAATTGAAAAATGAGACAAACAAGATGTAACCAAGTAAGTAATAACTAAATGAAAACTCCAAGCTGCATGAAATGAGACAAATTTTAATGATTTTGAAAATAAAAGAAACTCAAATTTGAATGAATAAGTGGGTGCCTAATAAGATTCCCATAACTAATTTCTGTTGATGCATGTATGCATAATTGAACTCACCATCCTACGATCAACCATACAGCAACCATCAGCACAAAGAAGAGTAGGGAATGTGTCAAACCCCTCCGAGAGGCAAATACTAAGGATTAGGTGCATGCCTTTTTGGCATTCAGGCAACTCAGCCAAGGAAGCATCACCAGTAGATTTGGTATATGCTCGAAGTAAAATGATCCACCAGAATCCAGAATCAACAGGAGCCACTCTTCCAATCGCGCTCTCTCCGAAATCAGCCACCAATGTCTCTGAATTCCTGACTGGATCATGGAGTACTTTGAAACTAGCAGGCATTACTCCTTCTCCCAGTTGAAACCTGTCAATGGTTTTCTCCGAAGACTGCAGTCTAATCGTCTTCAAGATAAAGTTCTTCACTACTTCTGTTTCCCCGTTCATCAGAAAAGCCAATGCACTAGGTACAAAATCTCTAACAAACACCTAAACATGAAAAATTGTGAACAAACATGAGCGAACAAGATATACCTATACCCTTTTCGCAAAATAAACTTCATTCTTTAATGTCATATTTTACATATCCACTATTCACAGTTGAACCTTCCCGATAGACATACCTTGTTTGCAGATATTAGATATTTTCTTTTCTAGAAGGTTCAACTGTGAATGCAGGAAAAGAGACCTCTCT